AAAGACTAGCTCAGGTTTGTCCTTCCAGACACCTTGCATGTCGAGCTTGCTTTCCACCTTGACCTTGAACTCGGGCGGAGACAGACCTGCCACAACTGCTTTGCTGAGGACAGCAGCCGGACCTTTCTTGAACGCGCCACTGGAGTCTCGAAAAACACGCTCCGCACTCGGGTTTTCGAAGTATTGCTCGAGGCGGCTTTGGACAGCGTCTATCCGATCTACAGCAGTAGTCTCAGTCCCCATGACTACCATACGGGACACGAAGGCGGCCGCAATCGAAGCTCAAGGGTATCATCCGTCCAGCATTCAGCATGTTTGGCCAGGGCCTCGCGCCGGTCAGCTTCTTCAAGTTCAGTGCCATCAAAGTAGGTGCGCGACAAGCATTTCCGGATAGACTGGCGCAGCAGTTGAGACACAGTGAGCAGCGGGCGTCTGATGGATTGCCCACTGTTGCAGAGACCCATGCTCCGCTCGTACTCGGTGTATTGCGTTTAGAAACGCAAGGACGAAGCTCGTGAAAAAGTACGTCCATACTCGGGCGGCTTGGGCCCGTTGCCCAAAACCAAGTCAGTAAGCCCCGCCCCGAGCTCACCAATATCTCCAGCAGAACCTTGCTGTCCGCCAAGCGCCCCCTTGCCAACATTGGAGCGTCTCTGAGCCATCGCGCCGTACGACGCCCGGGCAGATCAAGACAGCAGCTCCGCGGGAGATCAGGACAGCAGCTCCAAGATCGCAGCCTCGCACTCAGCGAAGCAAGAAAAACGCGGAGGAATAGCTCGTCCTGCTGTTGTCACGAAAATGGTATTTGACCCTGACGACTGACCCTGGTCGGTCAGCCTGAGTTATCGATAACTGTAGACACGCCTGAAGTCAGGCAGGGCCTAGGACCAGTACCCTCCCCCCCGTGGCCTCGGGGGTCTGGTCAATTCACCTCCTTGGTGATGGTAAACACAGTGTATTATTATTGCACACGAGTCTCTTCTCTCCCTCTCCATCTATCTCTCTCTCCTGCCAACATGCCCACCAGGCAGATAGAAACCCCAACCTACCATATCTTTGACATGCATTCATATCCAACGGCAGCTTCCCACCGTGAACTACTGCTACCCAGGTGCGCTGCGTCCACACACAACAAGCTGGCGCACCTCTCGTCAAATGTCAATTTGCACCCCACTGATGATCTCGCTCAAACCCTTGCGCGATAACTAAGAGATATTGGCACGGCAGGGATGAGATTGCGCAACCCCCGCCTGAAAGAGATTTAGTCTCGCGTGCGCACCGCGAAGAGGTTGTTGATGAATCCCGCCTATCGCCGTGACGCTCCTCCCGAACGCCAGACTTGGCAGCTTCCCCTCCGGTACAGTGCAGAACCAACACAGATCCGCACGCCCACACGGCGTATTGCAACAGATGCGCCTCCGGAGCCCGCTCCTTGACGCGTACATCCGATGTAGTTGCTTCTGCCGCTTGAACGCTCGGAAAAACCCTGGATAAACAAACAGCTCACAGGTGCCCAGTCAACCGGAAATGTTAAGTGTTATGGACAAGAGAGTCATATGCCCTCCGTTGACCCGATGGTGTAGGGGGGGAGGCTAGGCCCCTAAAAGCCCCCATAGAGAGAGGTAGAAGGAGGGAAGAAAGAGGACGAGAGTATGTTATGTTCAGACGTCAACAGAGTCCCCCTGGACGGGAGAACAAGGGGGTACCATCAACATCTCCAACTACCATATCTAAGCCCCCAGCAAAGCCCTGCCCGCACGCCCCCCAGGCTGTAAAACGAGGGCACGCGAATTCAAATAGGTGGAAGAATCCTATTCCCTCCCTCCCCCCCTCCGCCCCCCTACCCCCATTTTTTCCGGCGCTCAATCCAGTTGGTTCAAGGCGTTTAGTGTATAGGATTGACTATGGTTATATTGAAGTCTGCATACTTCCTTATTGTTGACCTGGTAGGATTTAGTATCGTAGTTAAGAAACATGCTAAGACGAGTGTATGGGAATATGTGTACACAAATACAAAAGTATCACAAGTAAGCTACCTCTATACAAATTTTA